GAGGCAGAGTTGCTCTGCCCCGGGCTTCCTGGAATCAGCTGCTGATCAGTTTCAGCAGCAGCTGACTTGGGGACACCTGGGGTTCTTAAGTTGAATCTGTATGTAAGTCAGAACTGGCATCCAGATTCAGCCGCGGTTGAAACTGATCAGTTTTAGCAGTGGCTGATGCCAGTTCCGACTTACATACAGATTCAACTTAAGAACAAACCTACAGTCCCTATCTTGTACGTAACCCGGGGACTGCCTGTACTCTCTATATTTAAAAAATATTTCCACTATGATACTCATAAAATTTGCCTTTGAAGAAACAAAATTATAAATGAGATGATTCAGACTTTTATCTAGGAGCATAAAGACTAATTTTTCTATCCTTGTTATAACTGCTAAAGTCATTAACTTTCAATTTATGAATTAATAATTCAGCCCCTGCTGAGCGATTAGAGCCATCAACTATGTAAAAGCCATAGCTCAAAGTCATTGCCAAGACATATCCTTTCTTATGTATCGTGAGACTGCTCCTAGTCCTGTGAGCAGTCAGGTTTTGTCATAGCAAGAGAGATAACTGGAACCACTGGCTCCAACCTCTTGGAAGTGGGTCTGTCCTGAAGCACCTGTGTTCCTGCCCATGACCCTATGCATGTGGTAAATCGTATAGCCCACTGCCTTCAAGATGTATTCATGCATAGGCTTTGTCATGCCAGACATGAAAAGGCTTTTCCACTTCTTGCTATCTCATTGCTAATTCTGGATTGGTCTCCTGGTCTGACTGCCTTTAGGGCCAGCAAAGAGATTCCTACTCAATTTTTTCCATCTCAGTTTGGCTATATATTGATTGGGACTATGCTTTTCTCTGAGACCCTGTGCAATCATTTACTAACAAGGCAACTTGTGTGTTTCATTTTTTGACTGGTTGTATCCAGATTGTCCTTGCTCCTTGCCAATAAACCATGATTCAGCTAAGCACCTGATTCAGGTGGCCCACACACTCAGTGTGCACATGCAGTATGTTTGTGTGAAATGGGGTTAGGCCCACTGGCATCAGGAGCACACGATCCTTCCATTCATACTAATTATGGAGAGAGCAAGCCCCTATATGAATGTTCAAAACACACAGTTGAGCTTTGGGCTAGCAACAGAGGATTAATGTATATGGGTCCTGCACTGATGTGGATTACAAATGAATATTGGTCTGGCAAGAATCCTCCTCCCAAGCTAAGCTGATTTGGTTAAAATGAGGCCCATCTACGCTAGTGGCTGAAAACTCCTGCAAAGTACTGTGCATTCACAGCTTCTGAATGTCTTCAGTAATGGCTGCATCAAATATTTGTACTGTTAATAAAAATGGTGGCCAACTTGACCCCATGTCATATGTTTTGGAGATCATGGACCTTATTCAGGTTTAGGGGGGATGCCTCCAACGACCATGATCTCCGCACTACATGGAGGAACGTGGCCATCTATAACAGGATAGCTGCCAGCCTGGCCACCAAAGGCCACACGCGAACCCAGGAGCAGGTTAGCATGAAAGTCAAGTTGGTCTGGCGAGACCACCAACCCTGAGCTTCCCCTGCACATTCTTCCCCTTGCTTCCCTATTCTAGCTCCATCCTCCCAGGTTTCCCCCTCCTCTCTCCCACCCTCTCTCTTCACCTCTCCCACCTCCTTTTCCCAGTCTCCCCAGAGTTTCATTCCCCCCCCCCAGTTTTGTTCAATAAACCCAGTTTCTATTTTTGAACATACGTGTCTTTTACTTGACATCAGGAAGGGGGGCTGGAGAGGGGTACGTGGAAGGACATGGGGGAGGAATGTGGCACGAGCCCCTGGTGGGGAGGATCGGGGAGGCTCTGAGGTTCCTCGGGATGGAAGCTCTCCCTCAGGGCCTCCTGGATCCTGACAGCCCCCCCAGTGAACCCCCGGATGGCAGCCTGCAGCAAGTGCAGGCGGCCTGATGGCCACAACCCCATGAGAGGCACCGGTGGGCTCAGGGGCAGTTTTGGCTCCATGTGGCCGAGTGCTGTGGTTTCCCGAGTTTGGGCACTCAGGGCACTCCAAGACAGGACTGCTTTGCTGTCCCTGATCGAGGTAGACAAGTAAGCGGGGAACCCTGAGAACTGTCTGTCTGGGGTGTGGGTAGGGTCCCTTTAAGCACGTAGCTCAGTTAGCCTCAGGCAGCAGCCCCACACCCTAAGTCCTAACCTGATGCCCTGCTGGCCCTGGTTCCGGCGAGCCTTAACTTTGGTTCAGGGTCCACTCAGTGTGGAAGTGGTATTTCGAAATAGCAAAATGCTATTTCAAAATAGTTTTTCTGTGAAGATGTGTTATTTCGAATTACTTAATTTGAATTAACTATTTCGAATTAAGTTAATTCAAAATAGCGCTGTAGTGTAGGTAGACATGCCCTCAGAGTAGCCAACATTTTTGTCTCTTTCCCATGTGTGCGCACATATGTAACATTAAATTAAGAATTGGGGGAAAATAGGCTGACTTGGAGGGTTTTAGGGCATGTGGTTTAAACTAATTGAACTAACTTGGAAAATTCTGATTTCTTGGCTTTAAATCTTAAATACAGGAGTTAAGTTTTCACTCTGAATTTTTGGAAAAACAGACATTCAAACTTGTTTTGTATCCTCTGACTATGGAAGATACTGAACTCATTACTTCTGT